GGCAACCTGTTTGGTTAAAACCACAAAAGCAGCTTCGTTTTTGGCTTCTGCCATCTCTTGGGTCAGCTGAGTGGTGTTTTCACCCCTTGGTGAAACTCAGGCTGGCCCCATGCATTCATACAAGGCATTCGAAAGCCCTGTTGTCACTTTATTTTTTATTTATTTATTTTGAGACAGAGTCTCACTCTGTCGCCCAGGCTGGAGTGCAGTGGCGTAATCTTGGCTCACTGCAAGCTCCGCCTCCAGGTTCACGCCATTCTCCTGCCTCAGCCTCCCGAGTAGCCGGGACTACAGGCGCTCGCCACCACGCCCGGCTAATTTTTTGTATTTTTTAGTAGAGACGGGGTTTTAACATGTTAGCCAGGATGGTCTTGATCTCCTGACCTCATGATCCACTGGCCTTGGCCTTCCAAAGTGCTGGGATTACAGGCGTGAGCCACGGTGCCCGGCCTATTGTCACTTTATTTTTAAAAACTTCTAAAGCTTCGTGTCCCATGGAGAAAATACATCACAAATGCTGAGTCAATGATCCCACAGAGACACCCCGGGGGACCCCGCTCAGTTCCGGAGCTCAGAAACTGCGGCCCCCGCCCGTGGCTCCCCACCCAGGCAGCAGCAGCCTCCCCTCAGGGGCTCAGTGCGTGTGGCCCCGTGACAGTCACAGCTCCACATGTGATGAGCTTCGGGGCCTCTACCCGCAGGGCTGCAGTGTCTGACGGAGGCGGTGCCCGTGTCTCATGCTCACCTGCTGGCAGAGCCGCCCTGCTCCCCGTGGCCAGCCTCGGCCTCTGGCTCTGCAGGGCTGAGCTGGGATGAAGGAAGGCATCCAGGGCCATTCTTGCCTGCCTGGTGCTGCTGCACGTGGCTCGGTGCCCTCCATGCGGATGTCTGTGTGGACTCTTCATCTGGGCCGTCTGTTGAGGGCAGTCTTGGGGTTTCAGGTCCCTGAATCTGGGCAAATACTCTCCTCAGCGGGGTCAACCCCCTGCTGCCCTCCCTGGGCTCTCTCTTGGTGCTGCCTGGACCAGCAACGCCCCACTCTGCTGCCCAGGCAGCCATCTGGCCGGTCTGGGTTTGTAATCTCCCTGGGGGTCAGCAAAGGGTGGGGCCGCATATCAAGAGGCCCAGGCATCTGGGCATCTGGCTGCAGTGAGGCAGGCATAGGCGCACCCTCTGCAGAGAAGCCCTCAGCTTCAATCCTCTTGTCTTTAATGTGGGCCACGGCCAGTGCGCCTAGAAGTCCATGGGAATCCCTGCAAGGTGGCTTTGTCTCATCTGCGGAGGCGGCTGATGCGATCGGCTCATGCTGGGGCCAAAAACATGGCAAGAAACATCCCACTGTCAACCTCCTGGGCAAGCGTGTGCACCTGCAGCTCAGGGCCAGCCCACCGCACTGCCTTAGTGACGCTGCAGCCAGGGGAGCCGTGGGCCACCAGGGGGCTGAGGAGCAATGCCACATGACCTTTCCTTTTGTAAAAAACAAAACCTGCAATTTGTATTCAAATAAAAAAGGGTAAAAATAAAAGTTAATAAGGAAGAGTGGACTCCCTGGATTGTGACATGATTTCCAAGTCACATTCTTTCCTTCAGAATTACACACAGGTGCACATGTGCACACACACCTCTACACACATACAGGCGTGTGACGTGCCTTCATTTTCATCTCCATATGGCTGGCAGATGCCAACGTTGCCAGTCAGGGCGGAGTCCCCGGTGTCCGCACTTGCTCACGCATCCTCCTTGTTGCAGTGAGCACCGGGAGCTTCCCCCACCACTCACGCTGGCTCAGGGCTGTCCTGCGGGAGCTGCCTGCTTTCCCTCTGCCTCTGGTCTCCTCCCCTGGAGGAGAAATGGCTGGAGCTGCAGGCACCTCTCGCGTCCCCTCTGTGCTGTGGTGGTGCTGGGCACTCCGTCCACACCTGCCCAATTGAGGGGGTAGATATTTCCTCAAGGGCTTCGGCCTTGAATGACCTGATGTTTCTTGTAAATCAGATTTACATTTCCATTCTTCCCCACAAACTTGTTCAACCATGTGCAAGGCCTTGTACAAGTTGTCAGATAAAGAGGGCCCTGGATAAGAGGGAGGCCTCTGAAGAACTGGGGCTATGTGGACATTTCACAATGCCGTGTTCATATTCGTCCTAGCAGTATTCCTGTAATGACAAAAAACAATACAATTTTCTGATGGGCCTTGAAATGCATCCCAAGCCCACGAAGCTGCTGCCTGGATAAAATCTTCTGTCCTGGTGTAGGTAAATTAAGAGAAGAAAAGAGAAACAATTCCATCTACATGTCTGTGTGTTCAACCATATGTTCACCATTTCCAGTGTCTTTTATTTCTTCCTGTGGATCCCAGTTGCCCTCCAGTGGGTCCAGGGCGAACTGAGCAGGAGGGCCCCAGTCCCAGGTCCTAAGAATGCCAGCCCCGTGCCTCCTGAGCCCCTGTGCAAGCACCCTCCGTGTCCCTCCCTGGGCACCTGCTCGTTTCATCCCAGCCGCAGGACTCTAGCCTGGGGGATTTCCCTTTAGTATTTCTTGTATTATATTCTTGTCTACTGGAAATATCTCCTCTCAGTTTTTGTCTATTTTGGAATTTCTTCATTTGCCTTCATTTCTGAAGGATAGTTTAGCTGGGTACTGGATTCTTACATAACAGCTCTGAGACACTGAGGCACTGAACCTGTGGTTCCCCTGCCTCCAGTGCCCTTTGTTTCTGAAGGATAGTTTAGGTGGGTATTGAATGCTTACTTGACAGCTCTGAGAGATCTCGGCACTGAGTTCTGCTGTCTCTGGCATCTTTCATTTCTGAAAGGAAGTTGACCATCAGTCATGCTGCTGCTCCTCAGCTAGATGAGTGGGTTTCTCTTGCTATTTTCAAGATTTTTTTTCTCCATCTTCAGCCTTGAACAGTTTGACTACAGTGTGCCTAGGTGTTGTCTACTTGAATTTATCTTACTTGAGATTACAATATCTGCTGATAATGGAAGCTGATTATAACTTTTCATTGTGGCTATTTCTTTTTTTCCCATTTCAAAAATCTTTTTCTTTTAAAAGCAACAAAAAAACGACCATTTCCATAGTCTAGAGACAATCATATACATTAAAATAAGTCATTCTTTGAAAGATAATATTAACATTCCCCACATAGTTGACGTTTTTCTCTAATGACTATACTGTTATACTGGCATTTTCTTTTCTTTTTTTTGAGAGGCGGTTCTCGCTCTGTCACCCAGCTTGGAGTGTCGTTGCACAATCTCAGCTCACTGCAACCCCCGCTTCCTGGATTCAAGTGATTTTCCTGTCTCAGCCTCCCGAGTAGCTGGGCCTACAGGCATACGCCACCGTGCCTGGCTAATTTTTGTATTTTTAGTAGAGACGGGGTTTCACCATGTTGCTCAGGCTGGTCTTGAACTCCTGGCCTCGAATGATTCACCCACCTCACCTCCCAAAGTGCAGGGATTACAGGCATGGGGAGCCACTGCGTCTGGCTGGCATTTTCTTATAATGTGTTATTTTAAAGCTTTATTTTTGCCAACATTGTAAAGTTAACCAGCATGAGCTAATTAATGAGCTCAATTTAATCTTCCTTTCCCTCCACATTTTAACTGCCCATCCAGTTTTTCAGAGTTAATTCCTAGGCTGTAAGACCTCTCAGAATTTAGAAAATGTTTTTCTTGGCAGCATTAGAATTTTGCCTATTTATTCTAACCATCTGCTTTCTCTAGTATACTACTTCTATAGCACATTCATGCAGTTTATGCTTTGGGAATTTGAGGAGGAAAAAGCTTCATAATTACAAAAAAACGTGATTTTGTGTAGGTTATTTTCCAAAAACCAGAGCTGTCACGGGCAGCAGCTAAAATTTCATTCAGGGGCACCTCTGCGAAATGTCAGGCAAACATGAGGTTAGAGATTTGGGGCTGCATCAGCCCTCAAGACCCTGCCTTCTCGCCACCCTGACTTTGCACCTCAGGGCAGCCGGACACTCTGGGCAGAAGCCCCCTCGGATGGGATGGGGTAGCGAGGCCTGGGGAAGCTGTGACGCCAGCCCATAGTCTCCAGAACCAGTTGACAGGGTGGCTGGGGAGAGGGGGTTCCCCAGACTCAAACGATCTGGAGAAAAGCAGGGCAGACTCTTGCAGCGGCCCCTCCCATGAGGGCCGGCGAGGGAAGGAAGCCGGGGCTTCCTAGGGGAGGCCGTGGAGCTCAGCGCGGACGGAAGAGAGGACGGAGGAGCTCAGCGCGGATGAGGGGAGGCCGTGGAGCTCAGCGCGGACGGAGGAGAGGACGGAGGAGCTCAGCGCGGACGGAGGGGAGGCCGTGGAGCTCAGCGCGGACGGAGGAGAGGACGGAGGAGCTCAGCGCGGACGGAGGAGAGGCCGTGGAGCTCAGCGCAGATAAGGGGAGGCCGTGGAGCTCAGTGTGGATGAGGAGAGGCCATGGAGCTCAGCGTGGATGTGCCTACGGGGCCAGCTGGTGTCTAGGGGGGGCTGTGCCAGAGATGGCCGTGCAGGACATGTGGGGCCAGTTCTGATAACTCCAGCACGGGCTGCAGGCTCAGCACTTCTTATTTTATTCCTTTACTGAACTATTTGTTATATGGTCAGAGTGGTGGTTCTTTCTTTGTTCCTGTCTGCAGTCTGTGGGTTTGCTGAGTGTGTAATTCCCTCAACGTGAGCTCCCCCACAGTGAGTCCTCGAAAAGCGGGCAGTCTCTGGCTGGGGCCCATCGTGGTTTTTTCACAATGGGGTCCATCCCTCTGCAAGTGTTTAGACACATAAATGAGCCCCAGCTGCAAATGCAACGTACAGATTACAGGCGTTATGCCAGTCCACGGAAGAGCAGTTTTGAAAGAAAACCTCAATCTGATAACATGAAATTACAAATAAATATGAGATTGACTCTCGGTTTCTATCTAGGCAATTTAAAATGGAGATAAGAAGCCTTCATTTGATTTTTGAAAAACCAAACCCCAATCCCCCAATTACAGTAATGAAACGTTCTTCCAAGTTCAACCTTTTTATTTCCAAGACAAATGGGCTGAAGGCTGAATGTTACCAAGGGTGAGGCGTCCTGCTGGGGTTTGAGGACGACAGCGTGGAGAGTGATGGACCTGGCGTTCTCCCGCTGGCCTTGTGGGGGTGACGGGCTGAGCCTCAGCTCTAGACCGGTCACGTGGGTCCCAGGAGCCCCACTGCCATCCCGGCCCGTCAGCATCCAATAGGCACTGTGTGCTTGGAGGCGAACTGTCCGGCGGGTCTGGTTTCGCAGCCACGAAGGGCGTGGCTCTCTCCCTTCCCCGGGGTGACGCAGAGGCTGCTGCACTCTGCACTTTAGAGAAATGCCACCTAGAACGGGAGGCGCTGGTGAGCCGCCGTTGCCCAGCTCAGGGCTGCTAGAGGGTGGGCTTCAGGCTTCCCGGGGGGTGTAATTCTGCCTTTCCTGCCGGGAGCCCCGGAGAGGTCCCAGGTCACATGGTGACAGAGGCCTTCTAGCAAAGTGCAAGGAGCGTGTTTAATTTTAAAAAATTCATGCCTCTGGGGGCACCACCTGTCTCCTTCCTGCCCTCACCCCACACCCTGTACAGATAGGTGGGGCAGCCCCTCCAGCTCCCCCATGGCCCGGCTTACATTATTCATCCCCTGCTGCGTTTCACGGACAGATAGGCGGGGCAGCCCCTCCAGCTCCCCCATGGCCCAGCTTACATTACTCATCCCCTGCTGTGTTTCACGGACAGATAGGCGGGGCAGCCCCTCCAGCTCCCCCATGGCCCAGCTTACATTATTCATCCCCTGCTGAGTTTCACGGGTATTTGGTTACAGGAAGGATCACGTTTTGCTGCCAGCGCTACCGATCCAGGTAGGCCACGTGCACATGCAGGTGCCTCAGCAACGACTCCCACCCGGCTGGGGCCAGGATGCGGAGGCTCTGAGCAAGCGGGAGGAACCGGAACCGAGCCTCACGGGTCATGTAATTGCCACCTGCTTAGAGCCCACGTCATTGTCTGAGTCTTGTTGACGCACATCTGCTGTATTCCCAGCAGTCAGGCCCCCGCGGGGCCCCCGTGTCCTCTGCCCGGGGGCTGTGGTGGGCATGGAAGGGAGAGGACCAGGCGTCCCCGTGGCCCTGGCCCAGCAGGTGCTGGTCGGAGTTTGGCAGTTTGGCGCGTTGGTCCTCCTGCGGCTTTTGTTCAGGGGGTGCCTCCCGCGAGAACTGGGGAGAAGGTCCCTGCCCTCAACGAGCTTCTTTTGAACTCAGTAGTGCCTTGGCCACCGCCACCCCCAATTCCTTCTGTCCTGCTTTCATGCAAAAAAGGCACAACTTTTGACTCTTAGAACTCCAGGGGACACCCATTCCTTTGGCAGGCCCCAGCAGCTCCTTCTCCGCACAGGGCTGCATGGTTGGGGAGGCCCCTCTCCCCAGGTGGAATCGGGGCTAATCGCCTGCCCTGGGTGGCCCGATAGGTGAGCCTGGAATCTTCCTGATCATTGTTCTGGAGGCTGCATGTACCTGCTTCCTCTACTTCCTCTCCCGTTCCAGTGGGGGCCGGTGGAATCGGGGGCCCCAGGGAGGGTCCATGAGGGAGCTTCAGGCAGGTCTTTCTGTTTTGGTTTCTCCAAAGTCTAAACTCTAAGGAGAAAGAAGCAGGGAAAGAGGAAGAAGGGGATTCACAGGCCTGGGCAGAAAACTAGGAAGGGCTTCCCTGGGGAGGACAGGACCGAGAGAGGGTGGCCGAGCCGGAGCAGGTGATCTCGGTGGCTCCCCAGCCAGGCCTCGCTGCAGACTTAGGGGTACCAGCACCGGGCCACACAGCACACCCACCCTCACTGTGGCCGGAAGGTCAGAGGCATGCTGGCTGTGAAAGGCTGCCTGAGCCCCCCAGTGGATACTGTGGCAAGTGTGGACCAATGGCCGATGCCTCAGCCCCACCCACTCCAGCCACCATGACACTGCGTAGCCTGGACCCGGGCCAGTCCCTGTATGAGCATGTGTGCTTGGTGGCGTGTGTGTGCAGTCCTTGTGTGTGTGAGTGTGTGCATACCTGTGTGGCAGCGCCTGTGTGTGTGAGGTTGGCAGGCAGATGAGGGTGGGGGTGGGGTGGGAGGAGAGGTGCTGTGCCCTGGAGACCAGCCTTGGGAGGGTGGGAGGAAACACACTGTGCCCTGGTGTCTGGGGCCTGGGCCTGCCCCTCCTGTCGCTTGGGGTGGGTTCTGGGACGGGCGTCTTCCTGGTGCTCCTGCTGGGGAATCTACTGTGGGCTGCAGGAAGAAGAGGAGCTGCGAGGAGGTGTTGCCAGGGCCAAGATTAGGGTTAGGATTAGGGTTAGGGTTAGGGGTTAGGGTTAGGGTTAGGGTTAGGGTTAGGGTTAGGGTTAGGGTTTGCCCCAGAGCCTCCTGGAATTCTGCCCGCTCAGCGCCATCCTCCAAGGCCTGACAAACGCAGCCTCTGCCTGGAACCACCGTAGACCCCCCAGGGAGTGGCTCACCAGCTGCTCCTCCCCGCCCCCCGGGGAGTGGTTTCACCCACTGCTCCTCCCCATCACCCCAAACTCACCCGTTGCTCACCCCCACCACCCCCCGCAGGCCTGGCTGCTTAGAGAACCACCTCGGGAGCTTCAAACATCCACCCCCTCCAGAGACTGATGTGCGGGGTCTGGCCTGTGTCCTGGGTCTTTAGCAGCCCCTGGGGGACCCTCAGGTGAGGCCACAGTTGCCAACCCCCTGCCTGATGTGCTGAGTTCCTGGTCTGCAAATGGGCCAGCCACATCCTGGGCTTCCCCGTGAATTCTCCAGCAGGGCGGCCGTGAGGTGGGATGCTGTCACCGCTGTCCGCTTTGCCTCATCATCGTCTGTTCCATTTCTCTTGCTTCTTACTGTAACTGTGGATTCTTACAGGGCAGAACTGCACGAGTCATCTTTGCACCTTGTCTAGCATCCTGCATGTAAGGAAATCCAACACATGTGTGTTGGTTGAGTGAAAGATTAACTTGAAAGTGTACATTCAGGTAAATGCACGCTTTCCCACTTGGAAGATGTGGTTATGTTTTGAATCAGACTTAGCTGGTTTATATCTTGTTTCTCCCATTAGCCACCTATTTGACATTGAAAAAAGTTACTGAATTCTGTGTGCTTCTGTTTCATCATCTGTGAAATGGGTGCCACATGGCAAGGCTGAGATGAGGCAGAATGTGAAAGTGGCAGCCACAGCGTGAGGCATACAGTAGGTGCTCCATCCATGCTCGTCCCGTCTCCCAGACCAGCCACAGGGTGAGGCATACAGTAGGCACTCCATCCACACCCGTCCCATCTCCCAGACCAGCCACTGCGTGAGGCATACAGTAGGCGCTCTATCCACGCTCGTCCCGCCTCCCAGACCCCAATTTGCCCGAAGCCTTCTAAAGGGTGTGGGAAACTTAGGAGTCTCTGTTGTTTCTGGGGCAACACTGGGGCTGTGAAAGGAAAATAAAATCTGGGGACTCCAATTCACTGCCAAGGGAAACCCTTAAAGCTAGAAGCTGAGCCCCGTGAGGAGCGGCCTTTCCTTGTGTTCCTGAGCAGGGAGCTGCCCAGCAAAGGCTCAGTTCTCCACCGGCAGCTGCTCTACGTCCCCTGGCCTTGTGCAAAGTCCGACTTTCTGAGCCCAGGACGAATGCATCATTCACCATTGTCCTGCCTGTTCCTTCCTCCTGCAACACGTGGGTTCAGTCAGGCAACCAAACCTCCCTCTTTCTCTTCCAGCCTGCATTTCCCCTTTAAAGTATCGAAACCCTCAAAATCATCTTGGAGAAAGGCACAGAGCTGTCTCCCGGGCATGCCCTTAACCTTGCAAATGAACTTCTCAATGGATTGAGGCCTGTGTGTCACGCTTTCTGGTTTACAGGACCCATGTTGGTGTGGAGGAAGTCAAGGTAGGAAACCTCGGGTTCTTTCAAAATTGTCCTCTAAGCAGGAAGGAATCTGGAACTGGGAAGGACAGCAGGCATGTTTTCTAGCAGTTCTAACGAATTATCTTCTTACTGTCAATAACAATTTATCTAGTCTCTAATTATCTTCAGTCCAGCGGAAGACAGATTTCCTCATCTCCTAACTGCCTCTTGGAAGAGCTAAAGTAAGTTAAATTTAAAAAATACCCTGATCCCAGGTGACTGCCCCTGCTGAGCTGATCTCGGCTTGCAGGAGAGGCGCTGTGGGCCACCAGCTTGCGCCCTGCGGCGGGAGGGGCTCCAGTGGCCGGATTCTAGCCAGTGTCCCTGCCCTGCAGTTAAGCACAGGGGCTTTGGGGGTCTGTCATGCGCCACAACAATCAACCTCCTGGAACCTCAGTTTCTCGTCTTTGAAGGGGGATCATACTGAGATTGTTCAGGGATGGCTTCGGTTTCCGTTACTGAAGCTAAGGCCCGAGGTCCCGGCTCTCAGCAGGTTTTGCTCATGTAGCCCTCGAAGAATTTTCAGAAATGTGCCCATGTCAGGTTTGCATCTAAAATCCTTTTGGTTTGGTTGGAAAGGGCACATTTCTGGTGACGCAGCAGCACTCTCACGGGATCCGTGGGCGAGGTCCTTCTGCCCGGGGCTCATGGCAGCACAGGCTGTGTATGTGAGCCTGGCCGGTGCCTGGGTCTGCCCCGGCTCTGCCACTGTCTGCTGTGTGACCTGGGACTGCTCACGCCACTGCCCCAAGCCTTGGTTTCCTCATCTTACACGGCGGTGGCGAGAGCCCCTGACGCAAGGCTGTGGCGAGTTTGAACCGGGCGCTTGGAGCAAGGCTTGGCCAGGGTTCACCAAACAGACAAAGGCAACCTGGCTGGGGAGCCAGTCCTTACTTTCAAAGCAGTTGGCAGAACCGGTCTGGCTTCTGTCAGAACTGTTAGGACGTCGGGAGGTGCCCAGTGACAACCCCTCCCTCTGGGTCCTCCTGCCCTGGCCGCTGGGCGTGGATGAGGAGAAGGCTGGGCCCTGTGCAAACCTCCTGGGCACAGAATCCGCCGGGCACAGAATCTGTGATTCCCCCCCCACCCCGGAGCCCGGCCTTGCCCCGTGCTGTGTGACTGCTTCTGTGTTTGGGGCCCGAGGGTCACGCAGGGAGAGCTGCACCTCAGGGAGGCTGGGCTGGGGACAGGGTTGGCCCCTCTTGGTGGCAGTCGGGTGGGAAGGGGACACAGTGGAGCCAGGGCCCTGGACTCAGCCAGATCTACTTTGTGAGAGACTGCATCTGGCAATCAGGGATCTGGAAGTGACTCCCTTAAGCAACTGCACCACCGCAGCCACCTGGAAAATCTTCGCACGCCCCCAGCGTGGAGTGTCCGAGACGCCGCGGCCCTCAAGGTACTGTTGTGCATCAAAGCCTAACACACACACGCTTATCCCCTTACAGCTCTGGGGGCCCAAGTGCAAAACGGGGCTCATGTGGGGAAGCCGAGTGCTCTGTAACTCCCGTGTCTCAGCTCCCTTGTGCGGCCCCTGGAGGCAGACGTGGGAGGAATGCCGCAGCCTCGGAGAACCAGGTCTGGCCTTCCTGGTGCCGGTCCCAGGGTCCTGAGGCCTGGTTTCCACAGTCACACTGCAGAGACGGCTCCTTGCGGAGGCGCCTTCTGTGTGCAGGGACAAGGTTTCTCCTCTGCCCCAGGCTTCAGTGGGGAGTGTCCAGGGGGCCAGAGCCCCCAGATGTTACTGCTGTGCTGGTCACCCCTCTGGTCTCTCCCTTGGCGTGGACAGACCCCCTGGTGCATCTCTGGTCTCTCCTCTGGCGTGGACAGACCCCCCGGTGCATCTCTGGTCTCTCCCTTGGCATGGACAGACCCCCGGTGCATCTGGACATCTCGGCGGGCAACTGCTATTTACAGACACGGAAGGTTTTACATGACCCGCCTTTTCTGTGTTTTCTCATTCTTTGCAAACCCATTGTTTTTCAGCTCCAAGAATTGCTCTCCGGACGTGCTGGCTCTGTGGCTGAGGAAGCAGTTTCGTGAAGGTCTTTTCTGTGCTGATGTTTAGCTTTACCGAGATTTTGTTGCTTATCACACAATTCACCATTGAAGTGTCCTGGGCTGATCTGATGCCGACGTCGCTAAAGGAAATTCTCAGAAGATCTCCGGGGAAAAGCACAAATACTTTACAGAATTAGAAAGCAAAGGATTTGTAAGACATCGCCAGGAATTCTGTTACCAGTTAGGACTGGTCACCTCCAAACTTAGATACAATGAACTTATTTACTTCTTCCTAGGAAATGTATTTGGGGGATTTTTTACGTGGTCTGAAGAGGACAGTTCTTGGCCACGATGATGATGTCAGTGGCAGACGTTGCCTTCTGGCAACTCCAGGTCCTGGCTGACTTTGCCTAGCTCTGCCCGGCCTGGTGTTGCAGGAAATATGCTAATTCCAGGCATGGAAGCTGGGAGTGCATCTGGTTTGGGGAGACTTTATCTTTCTAAGAGGCTTTCAGTGCTGTTGACGGTGCACATTTGACCTTTCAGACTTGGAGAAATCAGGTTGCAGAAATTTTGCAGAGCACCTGAGCAGAATCAATCTGGCGTGAGACACACACACACAATCAGGTGCATCCACCCCTCCCACAGGCACTCACACAGTCATGTGCACCTACCCACACACGTGTAGTCAAGCACACACACCCGCACATACACACGTGCACACACAGACACACACACACACAGTAGCGGCCCCGAACAGGCATCCTTAGCCTTTCTGCTCTGAGCTCTGCCTCATCAGAACCTGCTGCCGTAATTCAGCCAAGCGAACTCCCGCAGCAGGAGCCTCCCTGGGTGTGGCAGGGGAGCGCCCGCCACCGAGACTCTGCTGCTGTGCTTGGGGGAGTTGTGCCTTTTCTCTGCTTTTCTTTCTTTCTATACTTCCAGGAAATCATGACATTAAAAATGACTGTTTTTCTTATGACGAATATTCATTGTAGGATATTTAGTGAAAATTCACACAATAAAAACTGTGATTCGTTTGTGCTCTCTGAGTTTCTGGGTTTCCTTGCATTTTTCTGGCAGCTTCTATTCTCTCCGGGTGCCTCCGATGCACACATCTCAGCTCCCAGGATGATCTTCCTGCCTGGTGCGGCTGCCTCCTCCACGCCACCCCTCATTACCCGTGGTCTAGGGAGACTTCAGCAGTTCCCACTCCACGCTGCCCAAACAGCTGCTAAATATCTGCTGAAGTAAGAGGAAAAGGTTCGTTATCTTTGGTTATCGCTTTGTTCACCTTCCAGCCTCCCTGTAGTGAGGGTCCTGTCCTGACACAGTGATCCCTGTGGCAAATTTGATTTTCCCCAAACGACCACATCAGCTTTCCACTTCCCGCACACAGGGAGAGCCTCTTCCTTCTTCCTTTGAATTTCCTCACAGGGCTGCTGAGCTGACACAGCGTGAAGCTGAGGCTGGGTTGCGGAAGGTGCCACAGACTCCACCTGGGTTTCTCTCCTGTTTGACATTCCTGGGAGCCCAGTCCCCATGTTGTGAGGAAGCCCACGTCACCTGGAGAAGTCACAGGCACAGCCACAGTCAGCCACAGCCACAGTCAGCCACATGCCAGTCCTGGGAGCCACCCTAGCTAACCGTGAGTGGAGCAGAGGCAGGGTGTCCACTCCAAGCCTTGCCCAAATTTCAACTTCAACTAAATAAATGTGGTTTTTTAAGCCGCTGAATTATGGGTTCATTTGTCCCACTGTCGTAGGAACCAGAACAACCTCCAAGGACCTGTCCCACTGTAAAGACTGGCAATCTTATGACTTCTGTCTCCTGGACTCCTCCCAAGTCTGAACACCTTCCCAACACCCATAGGTCGCAGCGTATCTCGGGCAACCCCATCCACTGCCCCATCAAGCCGGCACCTGGCCTGTCTCTTGTTTCCTGGAGCTTGCTCAGAGATAACAGATTCATCCGATCCTCCAGGAAGGGCCGGAGTGGCCTGGCTCCCTGCCCTCCAGCTCTTAGCTCTGCGTCGCTCCTCGCGGGAGCCCTCCCTGCGACATCTCCCGCTGCTCTCAGCGCTGAGCTTAACACGGTGGTGTCACCTGGGAGGGCTGAGTCTTTCTGTCTCTTCTCCACCAGCCTCTGAGCTCCATCAGGGCCCCAGGGCAGCGATCGCTCCTGTCCTTCCATATCCCAGTGCCAAGCCTAGCCCTGCTCTGGGCCTGGACAGTGCTCAGGACAGGACAGTGTGGGAGCCAGCCCCTGGCCCTGACCCTGGCCCTCAGAGCCAGTGCTGTTGCTTCCCTACCTCACTGGATGTTGCAGGAATGGGTTAGAGATCTGAGGACTGCAGAGAGTTAGGGGTGAGGGGAGAATGAACCAGTCATGGGGGCCCCCGGTATCTCTGAGCGAGCAGAGGAGGAAGGTGGCGCTGGCAGGAAGGACAGGTGCTGGCTGTGGGTTCCAGCCACTTCCGAGGTGCAGACCTGGGGAGAGGAGGCAGGTGGGGCCTGCTCAGGGAGCCCCCGAAGAAGTTCTGACTTGGCTGTGCTCCAATCTGCCCCTGCACATTCCCCACGCCTGGCAGGCGCTTTTTCTCCTCTTTAAAAAGGCACTCCCTGAGCCTGGTGGAATGAGACAAGCATGGAAATCCCTGGGCTGCTCTCAGGGATGGAAGAGGCTGGGCATCCCGGCGGCTCAGGGTGGGACTCGGCCTGCAGAGCCGAGCAGACGCCCTCTTTCCTCCTTTTCTTTTCCTTTTGTTCATTTAATTTTTAAAATGTAACAGACTGTGGCCGAGCATGGTGGCTTTCGCCTGTAGTGCTAGCACTTTGGGAGGCCAAGACAGGCGGATCACTTGAGCCCAGGGGTTTGACACCAGCCTGGGCAACATGAGGAAACCCCATCTCTGCAAAAAGTATAAACCTTAGCTGGGTGTTGCGGCACACGCCTGTGGTCCCAGCTACTTGGGAGGCTGAGGTGGGAGGATCGCTTGAGCCTGGGAGGTGGAGTCCGCAGTGAGCTATGATCACGCCACAGCACTTCAGCCTGGGCCACAGAGCCAGAGCATGCCTCAAAAAAAACAAAAAAGTGACAGACTGCAACAAAGGCACACCTGGGCAGAGGCTGCAACAAAGGTGCACCCGAGTAGAGGCTGCACAGGAGCTCCTTGCACTATCCCTGCAACCCACCTTTAGGTTTGAAAATACACAAAAGTAAAAAGTTACAAAAAAGTAATCATCGACTTTAAACATCCAGAAAAGTATAGAGAATAATATAACAACCCTGTCCACACCGTCTAGCCTTAATGATATCTCAACACTTCCCCTTTTTTCCAAGTCTTTTGACTTTTTTAAAGAAAGAAGTTTTCACAAATAGAGTTTAAGCCCCGAGACATAGTTCTAAAGGTGTCCGTGTGTCTGCACACAAGACTCATGGTGTCCGTGTATCTGCACACACGAGACTCATGGTGTCCATGTAATCACCTCCTACTGCTTCATAATATCCTATAACCAGTTTCTCAGCTTCCATTCTGCTACCCTACAACTACTCTCCAGTAATCCTATGTGTAGGACCCTCCAGGAACCCCCACATCACTTGGAGCAAAAGCCAGAGGCCCTGCAGCTCACCCCAATGTCCTCCACCTGGTCCCCACAAACCTCTGGCACCCTGGTCTCCTTGCTGCTCCCTCTAGGCCTGGACGGCTCCAACCCAGGGCCTTTGCACAGAGGTTCCTTTTTCCCAGACCCTCTGCCCCAGATGTCTGTTTGAGCAACCACCTCCATGCCCTCAAGCTTGGTCTTCAACAGCACCTCTCAACAAGCTCTCTTTTCACTACTTAAAAACCACAGCTCACTCCCACTCCCACACTATACTTTCTATTTTGTTTCTTTACCCCTTTCCTTTTTCTGTGGCCTGCATTACCTGGCTGTGTATATATGTATGTATGTGTGTAAGTGTGTATGTGTGCATGTATAAGTGTGCATGTGTGTATGTGTATGTGTGCATGTATAAGTGTGCATGTGTATGCGTGTGCATATGCACATGTATGTATACATGTGTGTGTGCATGCATGTGTGTATATATACATGTGTGTACATATGCACGTGTGTATGTGTAAGTGTGTGTGTATGTGCATGCATGTATGCATGTGTATACATGCATGCATGCATATGTATCTGTGCGTGTATGTGTATGCATGTGTGTGTGTATGCATGTGTGTATGTGTGCATGTGTGTATGTATGCATGTGTGTATGTATGCATGTGTGTATGTGTATGCATGTGTGTATGTGTATGTGTGCATGTATAAGTGTGCATGTGTATGCGTGTGCATATGCACATGTATGTATACGTGTGTATGCATGCATGTGTGTATATATACATGTGTGTACATATGCACGTGTGTATGTATAAGTGTGTGTGTATGTGCATGCATGCATGCATATGTATCTGTGCACACGTGTATGCATGTGTGTATGTATGCATGTGTGTATGTATGCATGTGTGTATGTATGCATGTGTGTATGTATGCATGTGTGTATGTATGCATGTGTGTATGTGTATGCATGTGTGTATGTGTATGTGTGCATGTATAAGTGTGCATGTGTATGCGTGTGCATATGCACATGTATGTATACATGTGTGTATGCATGCATGTGTGTATATATACATGTGTGTACATATGCACGTGTGTATGTATAAGTGTGTGTATGTGCATGCATGTATGCATGTGTATACATGCATGTATGCATATGTATCTGTGCACACGTGTATGCATGTGTGTATGTATGCATGTGTGTATGTGTATGTGTGTGTGTGTATTCCATAGCATGTGTTGCCCTCTGACATGCTGTGCATTTTTCTTGTTTATTGTATTATTATTAATGGCCTCTCTTCCCCACCAGGATCCTTGTCTGTCTTGCTCATTGATACATCCCAAGTACCTGGAACAGTGTCTGGTATATTGTGGATGTTTAGTACGTCTTGAGAGGCTCAATGGGTGGTTAATTTTCATGGTTTAAAGCTTTATATAAATGGTACCATACTGGCTGCCGTACTCGCTGTGTTGTACTGTGCACTTGCATTTTTGCTCCTCGTTCTGTTTTTGGCATTTATTCTCATTAATCCATGTAGTTCTCATTTATTTTAACTGCCATGTGGTATTTCACTGTATGTGCCCATTTCTTTATCGCTTCTCCCCATGTTGGATATTCAGGGTGTGTCAGGTGCTTTGGACACACAGCGTTGTGAGGAATATTCCCTACGCGTCTTCTTGTACACGCATACTTCCTGCGGCAGTTTCTCTCTCACAGTGGATGGCCTATCAGAATGACTAGGGAGTTCTGAGCTATTAGTTTGTTTCCCGAAATTCTGGTTCAGTTGATCTGGTCTGGGTTCAGGGCCGCAGTAATTTGTTTTCTTTTAAAGACATTCCTAATGACTTTAACGACAGCTAGGGTTGAGAACCACGGCTCCCGGCTCTAAGGAGCAGATCTGTGTTCGTGTTCTTGGGCATATCTAGAAAGAAAACATTGCTGGCTTGTCCTCTACGGCTCCAGTTTTCCTAAAGTTTGCTTTCAAAGTGGCGGCACCACGCGTGATCCCAGCGGCGAATGCAGATTCCCACGTTTTCATTAACACTCTTTAAGTTATTTGATCCTCGGGGTTTTCCGATAGGATGAGGGTGAAACGCATCCTCTTGTTCCCACAGCATTCCCCTAATTCCAGGGGCTGAGTTTATTGGTCGTTAAAGCATCTTCTTTTCTGAAGGGACGGCTGATGTCCTTGACATAAAGATGTTAAAAATACATTTAGAAGGATCTTTAGTTTTTTCCTGCTGCCGTACGAGGAACCCTTTCCGGCCCTGTGTTTCCTTGCCCTTCTTTCCAGCCGCAGATTTTACTCAGAACAACTTCAGTGCTGTGGACACAAAAACGCAGGCCTTGGAGAGGCCGGTCAGCCCTGCCTCGGGGCTGCTGATGAGGTGCCGGATGCGTTTGTCCCTCGTTTACTGGTTCCTCGCAGACTGGGTTGTGGCACTCTGTGCCACCCTCTGAACACAGAGATCCAGGGCTGGCTGGCCCTGCGGCCCCGAGGAGCTCCGTCACCGGCCAGTGGGGAGGCGAACCCGTGGTGACCCACCCAGAGGCACTGCCAAGGGCTGAGCGTGGCGCCAGCGGCGGGAGGCCGGGGTCACCGTCCCAGGTCGGGCTCCCACCCGCGTCCGCAGGGTCCTCTCCAGGCACCTTCCATCTGGGGTCTGGCTTCCACTCCCGGCCGCGGCGTCCTGATGTCCACAAACCAGGCGGCGGCTGGAGGCGGTGGAGCGGAGAAGGGGGAGCGGGGGCAGCGGGGGAGGGAGGAGAAGAAACGGGCGAGAGGGAGAGGAGGGCGAGGAAGGGCGCGAGGCGGGCGGAGCGCGGGGAGGCGCAGGGGGCGGGAAGGGGCGGCGCCGCGAGGGCGGCTCCTGGCGGCAGGACCGGGCTGTGGCCCCGGGAGAGCCGGGTGGGGCGTCGGGATGCAGCCGCCGGTGTCCGGGCCCCCGGGCCTGCTGGACGCCGCAGGTGAGCGCGGGGCTGGGGCGTCTCTCGGCTCCTGCGGGGGAGCGTGGGGACCCCGGCGCTGGGAGCGCAGGTCCCCGGCCGGCCCGGGCGGAACCTGTGCAGAGACGCGCCCGGGGCCTGGGCCCCCCGCCTCCTTCGAGCTCTGTCTTTGCAACACTTTGCACTGCGCACGGGGTAGGGCGTCGTGCATTCCTCAGTCCCTCGTTCTCTCTCCCTCTGCCTCCTCCGCCTTTGCCTTTCTCTGACGCTGTCCGTTCCTCTTCGCCTCTCTCCTGTTCTGTTTCATGATGAAGAACAGGCGCCCCAAAGTGCGCTCCTTCCCCGTCCCTCCCGTGCGTTCCAACCTACACCGTTTTCCGGGGACGCTTCCTTTCGAAGAGCCTGGGAACGTGCGGAGGCGCTCGCGGAACCGGACCGTGTTGCCTGGTTTCAGGCGCCCCCTCTCGTGCCTCTCCCCAGTGTGTTCACGGAACCTCCGGTCCTTCCACTTCCCAGATCACGCCCGCGGCAGCCGTGGAGCCCGGCGCGGGCTGGGAAAACAGGAAACCTGTTGCGTGTCCGCAAGTTCGCAGGCCGGGCTCGGGGGCTGCGCTGGGAAGTGGCCAGGACTGGAACGATGCGGGCGTTTTCGTGACGGGGAGAGGGCTGCGCGGATTTCAAAACGACAGAGACACAGAGTTCCCTAGAAAGGGAAGCTCTGACGGCTGCAGGGAGGGGTGGCGTGGTGTCTCGGGGGCTCTGCCGCTGCCTCAGAAATAATCCAGCACAAACTGCTGGGGATTAACCTCACAACCCTTTTACTGGGGCATCTTTGGGAAGTTTCTAAAAACCGGACGAGTTACTGTTGTTTAAAATAATCAAAGAATTTGGCTTCTTTCTGAAAGAAACCACTATATTCCTTCCACTCTCTAAAGCAAAATGCTCTGTGGTCAAACGTGTTAATGTGGATTCGACTATTAGTGTATCCTAATGATAGTTATTTATTATCATTTATTAACTAGTTTTATCGTTATTATATTAGAATGCCTTGAAGGTTTAAAAATAGCATTTGACTTAGATTTTCTTCTGACAAAGAACTTGAAACCTGAAAACGTAATACTTGGAGCCGGTCTTTTTAGTATATGAAACATTGGTGTATCTGGGGTAGGGTTGTGGGTCTTTTTGTTTGGAGCTGGTCTTTTGCTAAAATGTATGAAGTATTGGTGTGTCTGGGGGTGGATTCTGGTCTTTCTGCTTTGGGGTATCTGGGGGTGGATTATGGTTTTTCTGCTTTGGGGTATCTGGGGGTGGGTTATGGCCTTTCTGCTTTGGAGTATCTGGGGGTGGATTATGGTTTTTTCTGCTTTGCCCTTCTTTGTTCACTACCCTGGGCATATGTAAAATCAGGACAAAAGAGAAATTGATGGCTGGGTGATTACAGTTTTACCTGGGATTATTACTTGGACACCATGACTGGTGTCCCCACATGATTAAATGGAACTCACTCTTCTTTTTGGGCGTTCCAGGCCCTGCTGGCAGGGAGGCCAGATCCTGGAACCCTTCCGAGCAGTGCCACCTCCCATGCTTTGTGACATTCCCCTTCCTGGCTCTGTGGAGTGGAGGAAGTGGGTCTGAGGGGCAGGGAGAGCCTGACCTCCAGCCTCGGGTGCCTTCCAGGCAGAACCAGGCGTGGGCACAGGCTCCTGTGGTTCAGCTCCTCCAGCTAAGGCTGGGGTGGGAGCCAGGAAGGGGAGAGCAGGTTGGGTGGGAGAACTGGGGGCTGGTGGGGAGTGACAAGGTGATATTCTGGGATATCCTAGATGGGATGCACCTGGGGAAGACTAGAGTTGGAAAAATCAGCGCACACAATAGCGGAGAGGTAGCTGTTGGCCCATTTAGCTTCACATCTCAGAACTCCTCCTTGCAACTCCAGTGGGAGAAATGCTGGTTAAGAATAACTGCTATGCCATCTTAAAGTTAACACTACCCGGATGATTAGCATATGCATTGCATTTATGAAAACCTATATGTCTCTCTGGACGCTGATCACAATCTCAAGAGGTGGGTAAGCAGGTGCTTCTCATGATTTCCTCCATCCTACAAATCAGGAGACTGAAGGGCCTTCATTGATTCCGTACCAGGAGATGCGTCTATGTCCTCATCTGAGCCCCGGGGACCGGCGACAAACAAGAGACAGAGCTCTCGGCTCTCACAGGGCTCTCTTCTCCCGAGCTCAGAGAGATTAAACGGCCACCCAAGACCACACAGTGGGTCTGGACAGACCCAGAATGGTTTGGGTCCGGTCCCTGTAAGCTGCCTCTGCAATAGAAAACTGTGGGCAGATACTTTAGTTAATAGTTGGGGCACTTAGGAGCACTTTAATTTTCACAGTGCACGTAATAGTATGTCCGCTAACGGGACGGGAACGGCAAGGAAATTATTCAGGTGATTTTAGTTATCTTTCTCCTAAGTGAAAGCCCCTTTCTGATGAAATCTGACCTTAAAATGCTTATCTCTCATGGTAATTATAAAGATATCCACCTTCTTTTCTTGAGTTTATTTTTTTGTCTCATTTTTATGCTGTGTCATGTATTTATAAAATGTATTTAAGGTTGGGAGTCTTCTTTTTGTTATTTCTATTATATCCGGAGTCAAAATATTACCATTGTGTAACTGAATGAGATGATTCAGAACCATTGCTCACAGGGGCATGGGGTGGGACCAGGGGAGCATCACTGTAACAGACACTGGATGACGGAAGTGTAGGTGCCAGGTCCTGGGCCACCAGCGTGGCCTTGGGGCTCCTGGAGCTGTGCCCACCCCTACGCCCACCTGCTTCTCACCCCTGTAGGCTTATTCAGCATGACCCCTGCAGAAGCCGCCTTGGGGACCTGGGGGGCGCAGGCATGGCCCTGGCTGCAGGGACCCCACACCGCATGTGTTCCTGAGGCTGGGTGTGGGAATTGCTCCCTGGACTGCACCTGGCTGCAGCCTCTAGTGTCTCAGTAGAGTGGCTTTCAGAAGGAGGGCCTCACTCCACACCGGTGGTGCTGGGCTGAGGGGTGCACTGTGCCACCACCAGGCCCCCCAGGGAAGGCTCTGCCCTCCACCCACTGCCTGTGGGCGATGCATCCAGAGCGCCCTGTCCCCAGCCCTGCCTAAGTCTTCTCCACGGAACTTGGCCTTTTCCAATGCCTGCAGTGTGTGCCTCTGTCTGACGTCCCCTCTGCTTCTCACACTCGGGGACACTCTGCAGGGGCAGGGGAGAGGGGGTGACTGTGGAGAGCACAGGGGTGAGTGGAGCTACTGTGCTCAGTGTGTCTGTGCAGCAACATTTAAGAGTGCTGGGAGTGTCTGGCTGGGAGACAGCAGGTGCACAGGCCCCGTGGATGCTGGAACAAGCCTCTCTCTAAGGAGGCAGGAGATGGGGCGACCAGGGAGAGCCTGAGAATGCTGGCCTGCGGCCTGGAGGGTAACACCAAGGACAGTGCCACTGGCCACCTCGGTGCAGTGGGTCCGAGATGGGGGCAGCCTGGCTGGCTGGTGGGAGCCAATGGTTTATTACGTTAGTGAATGGAGTGATCTGGTCCCCTCCAAGGTGGAAGATAAAAAGCGATTTGGGATGAGATTCTTGGGACAGGTATAACTTTGCAAGGGTCAAGGGGCAGGCAGGGTGACTGTGCCGGGGGCTGTGCTGAGTCCGAGAGGGCCTGGAAGGAAGGCCATGCCCCAGGCCTTGCCCTTGCTGGGTTAGCTGGATAAAAGCGGCTCTCTCAGATCAGCAGAGCGATTCTGCATCTGCACATTGATTTACAGTTTTGCGAAACTCATTTCTGAGGACGTAACAGTCCCTTCCTTGGGCGCAATAACCTTGCCTTGCCATTGAGTTCTGCTGATGGGATTGCAGAAGTGTAAATCTTCGGACGTGGACCTTCTAGGGTGTGGACAATGTCTGCGTGGCCGTCCTCGCTGCTGGCGGCTCTCCAGTGTGCTGTCTGCTTTCCCTGCACACATGCACTCACACATGTGCACACACACAAATGTTGATTTTCAAAATCTTGGAGTAGGAAGACTTTACCATGGTTTAAAAAAATCCCCTGTTTTGTTTGGAGTCACACAGGGATCAAGATGATTTAGTTTTCAAAAAATAAAACAAAGCAAAACAGATGGCCCAGCTGGACGGCTGCTGGGTGCGTTCCTCTCTCCCTGGCCCTCCCCTGGCGGCAGCCCCCTCCCCCTCTGAGTGCGGCTGTGATAGGCGGGTAGAGAGGGTGTGTCCGCGAGCCAGTGATGATGATAAAACAGTAAACAAAAGATGCTCCCGTCCTCCTGGGGACACCAAGGGGAGAAAGTCAGATGGAGGAAGAGGCAGCCAGTGGGAAGGAGTCCTTTCGAGTTTGCTTTCTTGAGTTCTGGCCGCAAATTCCAGTATAGTGGCTTAAGATCCAGAGATTTTATTCTGTTATCTAATGGAAGTTGGGGGTGGTCCCCGAGGTGGGCTGGGAGGCAGGTGGGGATAGTGCATCCCAGGACCCCCGGGCAACAGAGCACGGCCCAGAGCCTGCCGGGCTGGCACCCGCCCGAGCCTGAGCCCTCACTGACAGGTCCTCGCCTTCCTCCCCACAGAAGGGCTTTCGAGGAGGAAGAAGACGTCGCTGTGGTTTGTGGGGTCTCTGCTGCTGGTGTCTGTCCTCATAGTGACCGTCGGGCTGGCTGCCACCACCAGGACAGAGAACGTGGCCGTGGGGGGCTACTACCCAGGGGTCATCGTGAGTGCGCTGAGCGGGCGGCCTGGGCCGGGGAGGGCAGGGTGGTGTGTGGCTGGCTCAGGGTGGGCCCATGCCAGCTCACAGGGCTGGGGCTGAAGGTGGGGAGGCTTCGATCGGGGCTTGTGGTCGGCAGGGTTACGGCCCCCACAGACGTGCACATCCTGATCCCCAGGACCTGGGACGGTGGCAGGTCCAAGGCAGAGGGGGATTCGGGTTGAGGTCCAAGCTGACCGTAAAATAGGGCCAGGTGCCCTCCATTGTCCGGGTTGGCCTGATGCAGTCACAGGGTGACCAGGGCGTGGGAGGGGGGCCAGAGCCCGGCGACGGGAAATGTCCAAGGTGGAGGAGGGGCTGGGAGCCGAGGATGTCCAAAAAGGCTGGACAGAGCCTCCCCCAGCGTCCCGGAAGGATTTTACCCTGAGGGACCAGGTCGACCACCATAGCCCATGGAACCGTGGAAGGGAAAAGTAACTTTAAACGATTCCTGCCAAGAAGCGATGGATCACAGATCATATTAGTGACGCCATCACGTGGGAACGGCTAGAAGGTGGTGGTTCTGACCTCATTCACCCCGCAGGCCAGATTTTGGACAGTAAGGCGGCGAGGTAGATTGATGGTAACCTAATTGGCAAGAATTGGTCACCTGGATTCAAAAGTATCAAGGTTTTTTGAACTATGAAATTACATCCTCTGTCGTTAGCAAAAAAATTTGTCCTAAGTGCCTGCGTTCTGCACGGTGAACCTCTGTCGGAGTGGCTTGGATCTGCTGCAGTGCCCTTCACGTGCCCCAGAGCCTGGCTGCTATGTCATGAAGTGCTAAAGCAAGATTTTAAAATGTGGCTTCTTCAATCTCGTTACTCTCACCTGAAGTACTACCAAGATTGGTAATAATATTGATGACAGTCAGCAAAGATGAAAGATTTTTGGCACTCAATATTTAGAAATATTTTACAAATATCATTTATTTCACCTTTATATTTTCCTTTGTTTCATCTTAAGGTGTACTTTATACGTCTACGCTATCTACCTGTGTATAGTTTATAAATAAACATATACAAATAGTATCTGTGCAGAAAAAGCTTTATCAGTAAAATTACAAGAGGCCAATGATGTGGGGACCCAGGTCTCATGCGAGGGGCTTTTCTGCTTCCTGGGCAGAGAGGGGAGCCCAGAGGGCAAGTGGCTGTGAGGAGGGACCTCCCAAGTGATTTGCAGAATATCAAGATCAACCTTGAGTAGCTGTTTTTTTTTGTTTGTTCTCAAGCTTATTTAAGAGCTCCCTCAAAATACCGTAATCAAAAACATCAATGACTAATGCTCGAGCTGTGCTCTATAAAAAATCTACTTGCTGGGCGGTGAATTAACGCTGTGCTGACCAGATTGAAATGACTTTAGCCCAGACAGTTCTGAGAGCCAACTAGGGAGACGACAAATCAAATCAGCCTCAAGGAAACGTGGCTAAGAGTCACTTCTGTGGAGACTCGTGCCAATGTAGAGGCTTCAAAGAAAAAGGTGATCTCAGAAGAAGCGGCCCATACATGAAAGCATCTCAACATTTTGAAGAAAGGTGTGTTTTTTTTTCAAATCCTCCCAAAATGAAATGTAGTGAAACATTAATACACGTACATTGAAGTGAAATTTTGATGTTTTTGAACTGTGGCGTTGAACTGTGGTATTTTGAAGCTCAGCACATGAAGACATGTTCCTGTTATCCCTGGAGAATTCTCAAACCATTGGTGAAAGCCACATGTGTACACGTCTGTCACCACAGACGCACAGACACAATTACAGAAAAGGCAAAACTACTTACACAAAGGAGTCCGGTTTCCAGTGCATAAAACTTCACACCACGGCCCCAGGAACTCCAAGGCTGTGCCGGGCGGGCCGCCCCTTCCAACAGATGCTCACTGGGAAGTGTAACCGGCCCGGCTCACCTGCACGCAAGTAGGGGCCGTCTTAGCCTCGGCACGATCGTTGGCAGCTCCGAGTTGTCTGCGGGAGGCACTTTAGCTGGCGGCTCTGAACCAGATTTTCAGTGGGTGTTGCTGAAACGCATATTCTTCGCACTATTTTAAAAATTCCTAGGAGGCTGGGCGCGGTGGCTCAAGCCTGTAATCCCAGCACTTTGGGAGGCCGAGGCGGGCGGATCACGAGGTCAGGAGATCGAGATCATCCTGGCTAACACGGTGAAACCCCGTCTCTACTAAAAAATACAAAAAAAAAACCTAGCCGGGCGAGGTGGCGGGCGCCTGTAGTCCCAGCTACTCGGGAGGCTGAGGCAGGAGAATGGCGTGAACCCGGGAGGCGGAGCTTGCAGTGAACTGAGATCCGGCCACCACACTCCAGCCTGGGCGACAGAGCAAGACTCCGTCTCAAAAAAAAAAAAAAAAAAATTCCTCTGCCAAGTGGGCATCACCTGCCAGGACGGGCCCTGGGTGGAGGGTGCGGGTGCCCGGCCGCTGGCCTCTATTCTAAGACAGCACAGTCCCATGTCTATTTCCCGACATCCCGGCCTCATTTTCTGCCCAGAGCTGGGGCTTCCTGTGGAGCAAGGGGGCTCCGCCGGACCCCTGGTGGCCTGTGCTGCAGCCCGGGGCCGCTCCGGAGCCCTTTCCCCACACCAGGCACCTCCCCGCTGACGGCCTGCCCTGCTCACTCTCCCGAAGCAGCAGCCACAGGTAGGCCATCTGAGCAGGTGTCACAGGTGGCCCTGGTGCCTGGCAACCCTTCTTTTGAAACACAGCTGTAGTTCCCTAATGCCTTACCCAGGAGCCATGCTCAGGGGCATCTCAGGCCCAGAGAAGACGGGGCAGATGTTGGTGCTTGGTGGCCTTGGGTCTCCGAGAAGATGTTGTCTCTGGGGGACGAGTGGGATCCTCTTTTACTGCACAGTCACAAGCCAAACGGACACATCATTAAAAACCCTTGAGTAGAGAAGACAGGATGGGTGATGTTGCAGAGACGCCCGCCCAACGCCAGCAGACGCACCTGATATTCAGTGGTTGAGGTTCTTGAGGTGGGGATGTCTGGCCTTCGTCCCTGGATAAAATGCCTTTGAGGGTGGGATTTTTTGCTGTTAAATGTCAGTGTTAAGCTTCCAGGAATGCTGATGAGTGTTTCTCTCTTGTTCTTCCTTTGGTTTTAGCTCGGCTTCGGATCTTTCTTAGGAATTATTGGCATCAACTTGGTGGAGAATAGAAGGCAAATGGTGAGAAAGTACATTGCTTCTTTCTAACATGGGGAGGTGGGGATCATGAGCCCTTCATCGGGGACGGTACAGCTGCGCTGGGGCTCTGAGAAGAGTTAGCCCCACCTCCCCAACACATTGGTGTCTACGGGACCAGCTCTGAGGTTCCCGGACTGTGGCCTGCACAGTCCTGGGTGCAGGGTTCAGCGGGTACCATTCACACCTTAGTCTAAACGAGCATGGCCCTGGGTTGCTGGTGCATCAGTCTCACGTGGTGTGCAGCCACCAACGGCGAGGGCTGGGAAGCTCAGGGAGTGCATGAAGTTTGGGACGGGGGCGGCAAATTAAGTTAAGTCCTGGTGTGTAAAGTTCAGGCAAAAACATGTGCACAAGCCTCTCTTCCTTTTGAACCAATGGCTCTAGAGTCCTGTTTTTCATCTGAGTTGGGCTAATGTTTATCTTGCCCAGACTAAGAGGAGCGGTAAAGACATAAAACCAGGAGGGAACCCCTGGTTCACACAGCAACAATGCAGAGTGAAATCTAGATGCTGCCAGTCCGTGATGTTAGTGGCTGCATGCGTGGCAACAGCGATCAGGTTCAGCTGGAGTCCGTTTTGTTGACGCACTGCTTTGGGGACTGTAACTTTATAAACAGAAACTGGTTAATGTTAAGAGCATTGTTTAGAGGGGAGGTGTTTGGGCCACTTTTGCCTCATCTCCCAGTTGTTGCCTCAGACCAGGCTGGAGTTCTCATCTCTTCCCTGTGCTGGCTGTCATCTTATTGTATCATCCAGTGTGCAAATGACCTGTGTTGGGTCCCCAACCCCTGCCTGTTCCCAGTTCCCAGGCCGAGAGGGAGGGTGCGATGGCTGGGCCGTGGTGTGTGCCCTCGGAACCCTGTGTATCCTCGGAACCCTGTGTATTAGTCTGTTTTCACGCTGCTGATAAAGACACGCCCAAGACTGAGTAATTTACAAAAGGAAGAGGTTTAATTGGACTTACAGTTCCACGTGGCTGGGGAAGCCTCACAATCACGGCAGAAGACAACGAGGAGCAAATCATATCTTACGTGGATGGCAGCAGGCAAAGAGAGAGCTTGTGCAGGGAAACTCCCCCTTGTAATAACCATCAGATCTTGTGAGACTTACTATCATGAGAACAGCATGGGAAAGACCTGCCCCCATGATTCAATTGCCTCCCACCAGGTCCCTCCCACAACACACGAGGATTCAAGGTGAGATTTGGGTGAGGACACAGCCAAGCCATATCACCCCATATGGGACCCAGCAAACTCCCACTGCTGCCCAGGAAACTGACCCTTGGGCAGATGGAGACTTATCGTGTGAGGGTGGGAGGTCCCTGGAGGGTTGGGGGGTGGCTGCAAAGACAGTGGGATTCTGGTAGAGCAAAGCGTTCTGTTCTGTATATTGGAGACAGTGTGCACTGCAGGGTGAGCTGCCCTTCTTCGCTAGCAGTTGCAAAGAGATGGAGAGATAGCCCCGGCATTTCCTCTCCCACCCACCCCCTGTTGTTGGCTCCCGACTGTGGGTGTCACAGCTGATCAGGGTGGGCAAAGGCCTCACACACACCAGTCTGCAGAACGGCGTTGGAAACAGAGGCCACCTTTGGGAGCCAGTATGCCCCCATGATGGTCTCTAGACAGCATCTCTTCAGAGCCTGGGGCTGCTTGGTGCCTGCAGGGAGTTGAGTGGACCTGGGGATGGAAGGCCTCCTGAAGGTTTTTCCGTATGATTTCCCCAGAGAGGCAGAAGCTGGGTATGAAGTTGGGCTTTGGCGATGCAAGGGTGGGTGGGCAGTGTGGGTCTGTTTTTCTTTCCTTTTTAAAAAATGACTTTAATGAGATATAGTCCACATTCCATGTAACTCAACCATTGAAAGCACACAATTCAATGGTTTTCAGGTATTCGCAGATACGTGAACCATCAGCACAGCCAGTGTTAAAACATGAATCACCTCAGCAAGAAACCCACACCCTTCTGTTAGCACCTACCTACCCAGCCTAAGCAACCAGGAATCAACTCCTATCTCTGTGGATTCCTACTCTGGGCTTGCGTGTGAAGGGAGTAATGAGTAATATGTGGTCTCTGTGTCTGGTGTCTGGCACTGCGCATTGTGTCTTTAAGCTTCCTCCGAATTTCCTTGCTTTCTATGGCTGAATAATAATCCACTATATGGGCCAGACACGGTGGCTCATGCCTGTAATCTCAGCACTTTGGGAGGCCAAGGTGGGTGGATCACGAGTTCAGGAGTTCAAGACCAGCCTGACCAACATGGTGAAACCTCATCTCTACTAAAAATACAAAATTAGCCGGGCGCAGTGGTGCGCACCTGTAATCCCAGCTACTCAAGAGGCTGAGGCAGGAGAATCACTTGAACTTGGGGGGCAGGGGTTGCGGTGAGCCGAGATTGCGCCATTGCACTCCAGCCTGGGTGACAGAGCAAGACTCTGTCTCAAATAATAATAATAACAATGATAATAATAATAATAATCCACTGTACAGATGTGCCACACTTATCCATTCACCAGTTGATGGACATTACAGCTGTTTCCACCCTTTAGCGCTTGTGAATAATGCTGCTGTGAACATTTGTACATAAGTTTCTGTGTGAAAATGCATTTTCATTTCTTTTGGGCATGTACCTAGGAGTGGAACTGCTGGGTCATACAGTAATGCTGTTTAATCGTTTGAGGAATTGCCACACTGTTTTCCAAAGTGGCTGCCCTATGTTACATTCCCACAGACAGGCATGAGGGCTCCAGTTCCTCCGCTCCCTCACCAGCACTTGTCACTCTCTGACTGTTATTGATTCTAGCCATCTAATGTGTGTTAAGTGGTATCTCATCGTGGTTTTGATTGCATTTCCCTGATGATTAGTGAAGTTGAGCATCTCTTCATGTGCCTATGACCATTTGCATATGTTCTTGGAAAAATGTCTGTTCATTTCCTTTGCTCATTTTTATATTGGGCTGCCTTTTCCTGTTGAGTCGTCAGAGTCATTTATGTATTTTAGAAACAAGTCCCTTCTCAGATATGTGATTTGCAAATATTTCTTCAAATTCTGTACATTGCCTTTTCACTTTCTTAATGGCGTCCTTTGAGGCACAAAAGTTTTTAATTTTGATGAACTCTAATTTGTTTTTTCTTTTGTTGTCCATGCTTTTGGTGTCATACCTAAGAATCTTTTGCAAATCTAAGGACATGAAGATTTACCCCTAGAGTTTTCTAGAAGAGTTTTGTAGTTTTAACTCTTCCATCTGGGTCTGTGATCCACTTTGAGTTTACTTTTGTGTATGGTATGAGGTAGGGGTTATTATAGTTTTAACTCTTCCATCTGGTTCTGTGATCCACCTGGAGTTAACTTTCTTCATGGTGTGAGGTAGGGACCCATGTTCATGCATTTGTGGACATCCAGTTGTCCAAGCACCATTTGCTGAAAAGACTGTTCTTTTCTCATTGAATGGTCTTCACACCCTCATTGAAAATTAATTGGCCACAGATATATGGGTTTATTTGTGGATTTTTAATTATATTCTTTTAATCTATATGTCTTTGCTTGTGCTGGTACCACAGTCTTGATTACTGTAGCTTTATAGTTAGTTTGAAATAAGGGCTTGTGAGTCTCCCAGCTTTGTTCTTTTTCAGGATTATTTTGGCAATTCGGAATCCCTTGCCATTCCATATGAATTTTAGAATCAACTGATCAATTTCTACAAGGAAGCCAGCTGGGATTCTGGTAGGGATGTGTTGATTCTGTAGCTCAGTGTAGGGAGTGTTACCATTTTAATGTTAAGTATCCCAATCCACGAACATGGAATGCTTTCCCATTATTTAGACCTTCTTTAGTTTTTAAAAACAAATGTTTTGTAGTTTTTAGAGTGTAAGTTTTGTATCAAATTTACTTATTCTTCAGTATTTATCAAATGAAGTACTTACCGAATTAAATTTATTCTTAAGTACTTTATTCTTTTTGAGGCTATTTTGAGTGGAATTGTTTTCTTAATTTAACTTCTGGGTTGTCCATTGCAAGTGTTTAGAAATATAATTGACTTTTTATGTTGATCTAATATCTGCAGCCCTGTGGAACTCATTTCTTTGTTCTAGTAGTTCTTTAAAAAATTGATTCCTTAGGATTTTTTTTATCTACTAGAGTATGTCAAATAGAAACATTTTTGCTTCTTCCTTTCCAATCTGGATGCAGGGGGACCATTTCTATGGCTTCGGTAAAAGCACATGGGTACTGGAATGACAGGATAAAGACCCAGGAGTGACGACCACTGCCAGAGTCGTGTGGTGTTCACCTGTCCATGGGCTTCCCTCACCTGGGTGAGGAGGGCACCCGGATGCCCCAGACCAGACCCTCTGAGGGGTTGTCTGTGATGCCTGCGCAAGCTCATTTCTGCCTTTTCAGGAGAGGGATTCTTCTGGGTTAATGTTGTATAGTGAACCCATATTTCACAATCTCACATTGATTTAATACTTGTGGTAGCTGGAACCTGGATGCCGTGACTGCTGTGTGATCCTAGGAAACTTACTGACGTATTTCAGCCTCAGTTTCTTCATTTGCATGGTGGCTGGGAACATTTGAGCCAGTGCACATGAGAATGTCTTGTTCATGACAGGTTTCGAGAAAACAGTGGCCCTTGTTCTACACTGGTTTTAAGTGCATAGATGTCAGAACATTCAAGTTATTTCAAAAGGCAGCAAGGCAGGCTGTGAATGTCAGCTAGAAAGAGAACGAGTGTATTTCCAATGCTTCCAGATATACATGAACACTTTTTTTCTCGATTTATTATTTTAAATTTTTACCATTGAAAGCTTTGCGCACATACAAGGGTGAAGAGAATTGCCTAATGAACCCGCTGTGCCCCCCACCCAACTCCATCACTTGTCTGGTTCACCCCCAGCCTACTTCTTCTCTTCCCGTGTTGTTTAGAAGCAAATGCCAGACATGGCATCATTTCATTTATAAAGATTTCACTCTGTTCACTTAAGGGATGG